GTTATGGAGGTAAATGATTTAATCGTAAGTCCCCGTGAATACGAATTGGAAGAGAGCATTGATAAAGGTGTGGATGTTAAAGGAAATTTGGCCAGGCATTTCGATTTTTGGGTTAATATAGGAACTTCCAGATTTATTTTAGACCTTATCAAGGAGGGTTACAGATTGCCTTTTGAAGAATCCCCTACCAGGGCTCATTTAAAGAACAATAAGAGTTCTCTACTTCATGCTAACTTTGTGGAAGAGTCCATCATGGAGTTAGTCCGTGGTGAACGTGTTCTAGAAGTTGATTCGCCCCCATTAATCCTTTAAGTGTCTCGGTTCAAAGCAGTGGGAAGAAAAGATTGATTCATGATTTAAGACACGTGAACTATTTTTGAAGAAGCAGAAGGTTAAATACGAGGATTGGAAAGTAGCTCTTTCTAATTTCCATAAAGGATTGTTCATGTTTTCGTTTTATCTCAAGAGTGGATATCACCACATTGAGATTCATCCAAATTACCATTGTTTTTTGGGATTTTCTTGGAAATTTCAAGGGGACAGCTCATTCCGATTTTTGTTTTCACGGTCCTTCCGTTTGGCCTCTCCACGGCGCCCCACATTTTTACAAAAGTTCTTAAACCATTGGAGAAGTACTGGGGGATTCAAGGGATTAATATGGCCTTGTTTCTTGATGATGGATTGTTTATGGAAGACTCTGAATCCACATGCAGTTTAGTGTCTTAACAGGTTAAAAGGGACTTAATTAGTGCAGGTCTTGTTACTAATGATGGGAAGTCAATTTGGGATCCGCAGCAATCTATCCAGTGGTTGGGTTTAGTGTGGGATAGTGCCCAAGGAACTTTGCGCATCTCTGACAAAGAATTGAAAGTATAAAGAATGCTATTTGGGGTATTTTTGGCAATCAGTGTATCGTCTCAGCTCGGGAATTAAGTTCTTTTGTGGGAAAGATTATTTCCGCTGGGGTTGTATATGGGAATCTTTCAAGAATAATGACCAGATATTGTTCCATTTCCATTGCTGCTGCCCAAGACTGGGATAGCAAATTTGATCTCGATGAGTATTGCATAAGGGAAATCAAGTTTTGGGAGCGCAACGTGGATCCGTTGAACCTTAAACGTCACATGATTTTGCTCTGAAATCCCATTTCATAGTTTGTTCTGATGCGAGTGGAGTTGGGTGCGGAGCCCATCTCGATTTCGATGGAGAGAAAGTATGTCATAAACAATGGGAAGGTGACGAACGCATTAAGAGTTCTACGTGGAGAGAGCTGTCTGCTATTGAGTTTGGAATTGAGTCATTTTTACCATTAATTAGGAACTGTTATGTTAAATGGTTTTCTGATAGCCAAACTGCGTGTAGAATTATTCAAGTGGGGAGCATGAAGAAGGATCTCCATGTTATAGCCAC